GTGTCTCTCGCTCCCGTTGTGCTGAGGGGCTATGGGGATTGTTTTCTGCCCTCCCTTCTGGGTATTGGCCGCTGGAATCGGCGTGTCATACAGCGGGAACGGTGGCTGCATGACGTTATTTTGCATCATGAAATTGACGACGGACTGCAGGTCTGCCAGTTTGTTTGTCATCTCTTTTACATCTCCGTCCCTCTGTAGGCACCTATCCTTCCAAACCTGGAGGTCGTCCTCGTTGTAGTATCCACTTCGATCTGGTTTCTTTGGTACATCGCCAGTCTGGCCGACGTCTTTAAATACGTGATTCTAGTCACGAGTTTCTGCGTTGCATTCGTCTCCTGTAATATCAAGGTCAATAGGTCTCCCACTCCCAGCAGGAGTGTCGTCCCAATTCTTTTCCTTTTGTCCGTTACTGGCCATCTATTCTCCTTTCGTTCCCACAGACGGTGCCAAATTATGTGAGTGATTTTCCGATCACACTACCCAACTCAATATTCAGCTGGAGAGAACTGGCAGAATAGATGACACCAAGCTGACCTACAATAGAAAGAGAAGATTCCAGCGGTGGTTCGTCCACCCGGAGGCACTCCGACGATCAAGTCAGTATATCTCTCAAAGATAATCACGTGGCACCTCGGCTGACACGTCGGCGTCACCATGCCACGTGTTGGTATTCAGAAAATATATCCCCACATATATATATATATATATAGATATAAAGTACCATACATCTCTTCTATAAATAAAATCGATTAGATTATATTAATGCTATTGTTAAGTAGCAAGCGAAATAATTGGAGATCTTATCATTATATTGTAAAAAACTTAATGAAATAAAGAGCTAGTAAAATGATTTTAAAAAAATTAAAAACAGTTTGATCATACATTTTACAAGAATAATATTTTATGCATCAATTAGTGTACTAACTAGTGTACCAATTGATGATGTAACATAATTTAAGAGATTTTTGGTATTTGTAATGTGATTAATGAGTGGGGTCAATAATAATGCCATAACTAGTATTAGTAAATTAGTTAGTACACTAATTGGTGCATGTAGTATCACCGATTTTATAAATATTCATGAAATATAGAGCCATTCTTATAATTTTTAAAAACTTGGGGGTGTGAACCACCAATCCTAACTTGGTCTGTCACTAAGTGTTGAACTTGAATACTTTTTTAAATTATCAACCACAAAATAAGAGTTTTATAGCAATTGAACTGACTATATCCGTTGACGGCTATGGATCGACAATGAACCAATAAATATCGCAAATAGATTGATACAGATAGGTTTTTATTCCAAATGAGATTAGGAGAGTATTATATCAATATCGAGAATAACAAAAATAAAAGAAATTGAAAACCATGCTTCTACATCATATAATAAAGGCATTTTTCGTTATGAAAGCTAGTGTTCACCTTTAGTACAATCGGAAGACATTTTGAGTGTAATGCTTTGCTAGATCTTGTTATGTTGCCTTTGCTTTTGTCTTTGTGATTGATGTATATGACGTTGGGATGAATTTGAGATGAGCTTGTGGTTGGACAGTTTTGACTTTTGTAGCTGTTGTTAATTGAGGAAGTCTGAAGCGACTATTCAACACCGAAGAAACCTAGAGCCTAGCTAAGGTTGCATTTATACCCAAGCCACGCACATTTTATTTTTTTATTTTTATTTTTATTTTTACTTTTTGCGCTAGTTCATATTGCTTGTAATTCTACATCATCAGGGTGTCATATAATAGTTTTTGATAAGAAGGAAAAAATATTTATGGTTGAAATTTTCTTTTTCATGCTCTTAAAAAGCCTTTTTATTTTATTTTATTTTATTATTATATAGATTTGATTCATATAAGATATTACAATGAAATTTAATAAATTACAATCATAGTGTGTGGGTGAAAATCTGACCACACTGCCTGCTTAGTGATCAACTGGAGAGCACAGGCAGAATAGATGGCTTCAGCAACCTGAAACAGAAAGAAAAGGCTCCAGCGGTGGTTCTTCCACCCGGGGGCACTCCGACGATCAAGTCAGTATATCTCTCAAAGATAATCAAGTGCTAAACTTAATACTCAAAACATAAATTGCATACCTTAGACCCACGGGGGTGCCTCTCTTTTATAATATATTCAATCCAAGTCTTACTAGAAGTATGACTTCTATGAACTCCAATTTAGTGCTTACTTTGGACTCTTTAAGAGATAAAGATAAACTCCCTAAGAGCTTTATCCTTATCTTGGTTAAGTCCCCTCTTCGTCTTAGGACTCTTGTCCCTTATTCGCTTATCTCGGATTCCGATATCTTCGGAGTTAACCTCGGCCTCGCCGAGATCATCTCGGCGTCACGACCAGGACACGTGGCACCTCGGCTGACACGTCGGCGTCACCATGCCACGTGTTGGTATTCAGAAAATATATCCCCACAACTGCCCCCTAGGTTCTATTACCTCGGTATTCTGAGGTGATGGAACCTATATCGATATTTCGACATTTCTTTTCTGAGTAATGGCTCAAAAACTGTTTAGCCGAGATAATCTACTTCCAGCCGATGTGTTCTCTTCGGAGAACAAGGTTTTGAACGTACTCTCCCACGCGTATGAGCTGTCATGCACTTCTAACCGTTCCCTTCAAATGCTTTATTTTTATTGGCCCGTTCCTGCGACGCGCCTTAAGGCTGTCTTTTCATCCGTCTGTGCCGTCTGACGTATCCGGTGCTCCAGGCGTAATAAATGCCCTATTTTTGCCGCCGTTTCAAGTTTTTGACAAAACTTTTCTTTGCCTCTTTCTTTCTTCACTTTTTCATTCTGATTTCTTGCTCTTTCTCTCTCCGAAAGCTCTTTTTTCTTCGAATCTGCCATTGCTTCAATCGCTCTTCTGAAACTGTCTTTAATCTTCCATTCTTGCGGAGCTTTCTTTGCTGTCACAACCGATATCTGATCTCGGCGAATATTGCCCCGGCTTCATTTGTTCTGGTAAGATTCTGTTCCTTTCACTCTTAGCTCTTTTTATGTGCTTTCGTTTGCCTGTTGCTATTATCGCTTTTGTCCAAAGCCTTGGATTTATTTGTATCTTGAATCGTGGCTACGTCTTGAACACTTGCACTATTTCACCACTTTTCTTGCCACTGTTCTTGATTTTTTTTTTCTGTACTTCTTTTGTTTCTGAGAACTATACCTTTGTTCTTGAATCTGAAACTATGTCTCTGTTTTCTGTTTTTCGTATCTGTCCCTATCTGTTCCAGATCTGTGCCTTCGATTTTGATCTTTATAGTTCTTTGGCTTGGGAGTTGTGTATAGAATCTTCAATTTTTCAGGGAAAATTGAAACAAGCCTTGTCAGTCCTTTCCCAGGTCTTTGCTGAGGTTCTTGCAACCCTTCTTTAAACGCCCATCTTCTGAAACACATTCTTCTTTTGTTTAAGTCGACGTAATGGGTATGTGGAGGCATAGGGTAAATACCCCAACAAAACTCAAATACTTTAGGCAGGAATTCTCTATCCTAGCCGATGTTCACCTTAAGCTAGCTGGGGATGATGATACCATCATGCCCACAGACCATACAATGCCCTTTCCTATAGTAGCCTTTACTGAATGTGGACTTTGGCTTCCACTTAATCCCTTGTCTCGTGAAGTTCTTCATTTCTACAAGCTGAACCCCATGCAACTTACTATCAACTCCTACAGGGTGATTAACGGTATTATAGCTTTAGCTAGGCAGGAGAATCTTAGGATCACCCTGGCCGACCTTCAGTACTGTTATACAATGTGCCCCCTCAACCTGAAGGATAGGGGCTTCGTTTATTACCTTAAGCCGAGATCTACCCAGTTTAAAATTGTAGCCGACCTTCCAGACTCCAACAAGGGGGCTGGAGATGACTTTGTTATTGCGTCGGGAAATTGGGAATTTGGCCCAGACGAAGATGTCCACCTCTACCCTCTTCCTCGAACAATTACAGAGGGCAAGGGTAAGAGCCCAGTGCCAATGCTTAGTTGTTTTTATTTAAGTCTTTAAAATTTGTCTGTTTCTAATGTCTGTTTGCTTGTCCTGCAGATCTTCATCAACCACCAAAAAACTTCCGTCAATCCTTTTTCCCTGGAAAAGACTTAAAGAAACTTCTCGGTCTTCCAATCCATAAGCGCAAGGCTCCCCTGTTGCTGAACTTCATTCCGACATATAAATCCACTTTATCCAACGTCCCAAAAAGGAAGAAAAATAGTCTTTCTCCACCTACTGCCACAACTGTAACTGCGTCTTCATCCCGAACAGATCAAGGATCCACTTCTGACCCAGCCGATCTTCCATCCACTTCGGCCCCTACTTAATACCAATTCTAGAACGTAAACGTCGATGAAGACTTGTAAAGACTGCCGAGATGGTTCGTCCAAGGCCTGTCATTCAAGACCTTCTTGCCGACCTTCCAACAGACGCCGATGCTGTACCAACACATGCGATGCCCCCACCAAAGCCAAAGAGAGTAAAAAAGGCTCAACCCAAGGCCAAGGTTACTGATGCCGAGGTTGAGGATACTTTGCCTATTTTTCAGCTGGCAAAAAGCAAAAAATCAACCTCTGCTTCCATCAAGAGGTCTGCTGGGGCCCAACCCTCAGGGTCTACACAATCAAAAAAGCAGAGGTCATCGTCTGCGACGACCTCGGCGTCCAAGAAGCCCGACGTTCCATGGGCCCCTCAAGTAACTCTAGAGGATAGGTCTATTATGGCCAGTGAAAGTGCCGACGATATCAACGTTGGTGTCGCCCTCAGCACTGCTCTTCTCCTTCTGAAGGATTTGGAACGAAATGCTGAGCTCAGTGAGTATGAGAATTACGCTCTTATGCTCCAACACTCCGTTCAAGTAAGTGTTCCTGTTTGCACTTGTGATTTTTCCTTCTGTTTCTTACTGAGAATATTTTCTAACACTTCTGTTTTTCTTCAGGCCATTCAGCACGCCCATTCATTTTCAATGCAATCTTTTGAAAATCGGCAAAGATTGGTTGATATGAAGAGGGAAACATCTTCCCTGAAGAAAGAGATCAAATCTCTTGAATCAAGGATGAAAAAACTGGAGGATCAGGCCGAGGCGGCTACTAAGGCCCAGCAGATGGTCGAAGAGAAAGTGGAGTCTGCTGAGGCTATCCGAAAAGTAGCTGAAGCTGAGAAGAACGAGGCCGAAGTAAAAAAGGCCCAGGCTGAGAAGGAGCTCCAGCAGGCTTTGGCCACCAAGGAGGCCGAAGTCAAAGAGGCTGATGAAAAGGCCTATGCCCAGGGTATGGCCGATGTCACAGAGGATTATAAACTTCAAGTCAGGCAGGCATGCAACAGGGGATTTTCCCTTGGTTGGATGTCCCTGATAAAAAAACTTGATCTCCCTGTTGACTCGCCCTTTCGTAATGTCGATGCCATTCCTTTACCATTTCCTCCTCTAAGTCAGGTTGAAGACGAGTCAGAGCTTGAGGCTGATGCCAAGGATGAGGATAAAGAGAACAATGATGATGAGGCCTTGGTGAGAAAACCCAAGGATGCTGCTGAAGCTAAGTCCCCTCCTCCTGCTGAGCAAGTGATGGATTTAACCTTGGATGAGAAGGGTGATGAGGTTGGGGAGGCACCCAAGGAAATTGCCATCGGGCAACTATCATCCAACCTTCTTTTGGCTGAAAGAAATCTGGACAACACGCTGGCTGAGATTGATGCTGAGATTGAAGCAGAAAAGGTTGCCGAGGAGGTTCCACCAGAATCGTCCGAGGTCCCAGTCCCTGCAGCTGCTAATACTGAAGAGTCTTGATTTAAAATGTCTTTTGTACTTTTTCCTTCTTTTTCTACACTTTGCACTTTGTACTCTCTTTTAATTTCTGGACAATGCAAAACTCCTTCTTATGGCCGACGTAGCTTTTTCAATATATAACTGCAACTGTTCTTTCTATGGATGTTTTGTGATGTTCTGTTGATTGC